TTTTTTTTTTTGTTTTAAAATGTTATTTTATTAAAAGCAAGCACCATATTTATTTTTTATTTTACTTTTTGTTTTAAAATGTTATTTTATTAAAAGCATGCACCATGCTTATTTTTTTGTTTTATTTTTTGTTTTAAAATGTTATTTTATTAAAGCATGTACCATGCTTATTTTTTTATTTTATTTTTTGTTTTCAAATGTTATTTTATTAAAAGCATGCACCATTTTTTATCTCAATTTTTTGTCTATAAATACACTTCAGTTTCTCACTTCTCTTGTACCAAAAATTTCTCACTTCTCATACACCAAAAAATTTAGCTACTATTCATTTTCCTAAAAAAATGGATCCGAATAACAGGCAAAATTTTCAAAATTTCTCAAGTTCTAATCCTAGCAATCCAGATGAAAATTCATTCTTCCAAAATTTACAAACTGCGCCGAATTTACCATTTTCACAAACTCCTTATCCTGCACAATTTTTCCCATAATTCCCGTTAAATTTTCCTTTTATGCAACAACAATCCCAAAATTATCCAAATTCCACCAATATTCAATATTCACAATATCCTCCACAATTTCTATTTCAAAACCCGCCGCCTGAATATTGGCAATACATGAGTAGTCAAAATCAGGTGCAATCTTCTCCGCAACAATCGAGTCAATCTTCCGGATCCCAAATGAGGAAAGAACCTGATACTCAAACTTATGTTCTAGAAACACAATTCCAGGATCGTGAAGAAACTATTAATGTTGAAATCCAAAAAAAAACACGTGTTGCTGCTGAAGGCCGGAAAAAACGTCCACAATGGACAAAGGAAGAGGATGTGCAATTTGCAAAAGCTTATGTGACAATAAGTGACGATCCAATTACCGGTAATGATCAGAAGGCCGAAGCGTTTTGGGTACGTGTTGCAAATTATTATAACGAAAATACACCTACTGACTATATTCCCAGAAATGCTAATATAATAAGATCTCACTGGCATAATACGATTCAAAAAAAGGTGTATCGATTCAATGAGTGCTATAACAGTATTTACAATGTTTATCGAAGTGGTTGTAGTGATGAGGATATATTAAGTCGGGCTTACGAAAAATATCGTATTGAGAATGATGGTGTAGCCTTCAATCTTGAGCATGTATAGAGAATCCTTAAAGATCGTCCTATGTACACCCCATAGTGTTCTAATGATATTTTTGTTGGGAGAAAAAAGACGAGAATTGATGAGTCTGGTGCCAGCAATGCTTCATCAAAGGGGTGCAAGCATAGACTTAGATGAACTTCATGAAGTGGCTCGCCCCATCGGGCAGAAGGCAGCCAAACGAAAGGCCAAGGGCAAAGGCAAATCTAACCTTAATGAGATGGCCGCAGAATACAACAACATGGTTAAGCATCTTGTTGAGTTAACTAGCTTGAAAAAAGCTGAAGTTAAAGTTAAAAAAACTACTCTTGAGGAGAAGAAGCAGAGAAATCGTCGGAAAGACTATGATATTTTAATGAGGGACACAAGTCACATGACCGAAGAGCAACGCATTTCTCATGAAAAAATGTGTCAGGCAATTCGAGAAAAATGGAACTTTTAGATGTTGTATTATTTGTTTTAATCATCCTTGTATTTCTGTATGTTGTGATTGGAGGTATTAAACTTTTAGCTTGTATATCATTTAAGTTGTTCTTGTTCTGGTTAAATTGTTAGTCAGTCTTTCATTAAATTGTTCTTGTTCGAAATTAAATTTGTAGTATGTCTTTCCACTTAAATTGTTTTTTGTATTTGGACTCATTTTGCCAACAACTAAAAAAAATATTTTTTTTTTGTAATTGTACTATTTTTTTTCTTGTGTAATCTTAATTTATGTCATTTTGGTCTTGTAGTGTTTTTTTTATTTTCATGTATTTAAAATTTATTTTGGTCTTAATTTATTTATTTTTAATCCGTATTTTACTGCTGCACATTTGCTCCCTTTTTTATTTTTTTTTTGTTTCTATTTTCCGTTCACTCCAACTAGCTTTCAATCCATTCTTTTTCATTCTTTTTTTTTTTGTTTTAAAATCCTATTTTATAAAAAGCATGTTTGTTCAATCATTTTTCATTTTTTTTATTTTTGTTTTGTTTTAAAATCCTATTTTATAAAAGCATGCAACATGCTTAATTTTTTATTTTATTTTTTTGTTTTAAAATAAATATTTATTTAATGGCCAATATAAATATATATTGATGTCTATATATTCAAAGCAAACTCACATATTTTTTCTCATTCTTCAAATCATAGTTACACACTTTAAATTCAATTAGAATCCTCAAAAATGTCTCAAAATTCATATACATTCGAGTCTAATTCATCATCATCCACCGATAGTGAAGATGGTGATGACACTAATAATTTAGAAGTTGAAATGATTTCATCAATCGTTCAACGAAGCCACGAGTTACTTCAAGCATATCAACATGAAATTGAAGTTCGTAGAAGAAGGAGGTTCATCCAGAGAAATCGTGAAGATGGGCATGCCAGACTTGTAAGTTATTATTTCTCTGACAATCCAGTCTACCCGGATTACATATTTCGTAGACGTTTCCGTATGCGAAAAGAATTATTTCTTCGAATTGTGAATGCACTTCAGACACGATCATCATATTTCCAGCAAAACATTGATGCAATAGGAAGACAAAGTTTGTCACCATTTTAAAAATGCACAGCAGCTATTCGTCAGTTGGCTTATGGAGTCCCAGCTGACCACCTTGATGAGTATTTACGTATGGGTGAGTCAACAACTATCAAATGTCTTTTTAAATTTTGTGAAAGTGTGGTTCAAATTTTTGGTGATGTATATTTGAGAAGACCGAACAGTAGCGATGATCAAAGACTCCTCCAAATGCATGAAGAAAAGCATGGTTTTACGGGTATGCTTGGAAGCCTTGATTGTATGCACTGGGAATGGAAAAATTGTCTAGTTGCTTGGAAAGGCCAATTCACAAGAGGGCATGGGTCTCCTACGATTGTCCTTGAAGCGGTTGCTTCACACGTTTTGTGGATATGGCATGCTTTTTTTGGTGTTGCAGGATCACGTAACGATATCAATGTATTATATAAATCTCCCTTATTTAATAATGTATTGCAAGGAAATGCACCGAACGTTCATTTTACTGTCATTGGCACGCAATATGCAAATGGGTATTATCTTACAGATGGAATATACCTAGAATGGGCTACGTTCGTAAAGTCTTTTCCTTGCCCGTCAGATCCTAAATGGAAGTTATTTTGAAAAACAAGAAGCTGCTCGAAAGGATGTGGAAAGAGCATTCGGGGTGCTTCAGTCTCGATGGGCAATTGTAAGAGGTCCTGCTCGGTTATGGTATAGAAAAAAACTGAAATTTGTTATGTTGGCATGCATTATTCTCCACAATATGATTGTTGAAGATGAAGGAGATGTAGTAACACATTGGCACAATGACGAGGATGAAGAGCCCGCACAACCTGTCCAGGGTTCAAATCGAGAATTTCAAAATTATATTCGTAGAAATTCAGAGATACGAGATAACACAATGCATCATCAACTTCGTGCCGATTTAGTTGAGCACATTTGGACTCATTTTGTCAACAACTAAGAAAAATATTTTTTTTGTAATTGTACTATTTTTTTATTCTGTAATCTTAATTTATGTTATATTGGTCTTGTGGTGCTTTTTTTTATTTTCATGCATTTAAAATATAGTATTATAATTTATTTTTTTTTGGTACATAAAATATATTGTTATAATTTAAAAGTATTAAAATTTATTTTTGTTTTGGATAGAATATAAAAAAAATTATATTGAATGAGTGGATAATGGGTCCCACATATGTACTTAAATGAATGAGTAGGAATGTGGGTGTGTGTTTAAATGAAGAGAGATTTAGTGGAAAGATGATGTGGAAATGATATGGATGAGAGAGAGTGTTACTTTTTGATTGAATGAATGGTTTTTTGTTTTTAGGGATGTGGATGCTCTAAGAGCATCTCCAATGCTCCACTTTGAACATTAAATAAATTTGAACACATGTCAAATGATGAATGGAATGTAAATCCATGTAATATGAATGTCAAAAAAGAAGACTTTAATTTGGAATGCACATCCCCAATGCATCCCTTTCAAAAGCTTAAAATAAATTAGATTTTTGATGAGTTGACTTTCAAACACTCTTTGGAAAACTAAAAAGTGAGCTTCACACTTTAGATATTTATTGTCTCTATGTCAGCATAAAAGAGTCCATAACATTATAGATTGGAGATTAATTTTTGTACTCACTTTATAACTTGATGATGTGGCTAACATTTTATTAAGTGAACCTCCCACGTTGGCTCTTTAGATGACAATACAGTGACAATACCCTGTGTAAATATCAAAGAAATTTCATTTCCCCCCTTTCCCCCCTTTGATTTGCAGTTTCCACTATCTCTCTGCAATGGCCGCCGCCGACAATTCCAGATCTGAAGATTGCCGGAAGATCGCGCTGATCACGGGGATAACGGGTCAGGACGGATCGTACCTGACGGAATTCCTGGTGCAGAAGGGGTACGAGGTTCACGGCCTCATCCGCCGCTCCTCCAACTTCAACACCCAGCGGATCAACCACATCTACATCGACCCCCACAACGCCGGCAAGGCCCGCATGAAGCTCCACTACGCCGACCTCACCGACGCCTCCTCTCTCCGCCGCTGGCTCGACACCATCCTCCCCGACGAGGTCTACAACCTCGCCGCCCAGTCCCACGTCGCCGTCTCCTTCGAGATCCCCGACTACACCGCCGACGTCGTCGCCACCGGCGCCCTCCGCCTCCTCGAAGCCCTCCGATCTCACATCTCCGCCACCGGCCGCTCCCACGTCCGCTACTACCAGGCCGGATCCTCCGAGATGTTCGGATCCACTCCTCCCCCTCAGTCCGAGTCCACCCCCTTCCACCCCCGCTCCCCCTACGCCGCCGCTAAGTGCGCCGCCCACTGGTACACCGTCAATTACCGCGAGGCCTACTCCATCTTTGCCTGCAACGGTATCCTCTTCAACCACGAGTCCCCCCGCAGGGGAGAGAATTTCGTGACCCGCAAAATCACACGGGCCGTGGGCCGGATCAAGATCGGGCTTCAGAGCAAGCTTTTTCTGGGTAATCTGCAGGCCTCCAGAGACTGGGGTTTTGCTGGGGACTATGTCGAGGCCATGTGGCTCATGCTGCAGCAAGAGAAGCCTGACGACTATGTCGTGGCCACTGAGGAGTCCCATACAGTTGAGGAGTTTCTGGCAGTGGCCTTTGGGTATGTTGGCCTCAATTGGAAGGACCATGTTGTAATCGACAAGCGCTACTTGAGGCCAGCTGAGGTGGATAATCTGAAAGGGGATGCCAGCAAGGCAAAGAGAGTGCTTGGATGGAAACCGAAGGTTGGGTTCGAGCAGCTGGTGAAGATGATGGTGGATGAAGATATTGAGCTGGCTAAGAGGGAGAAGGTGCTTGTTGATGCTGGATATATGGATGCCCAGCAACAGCCTTGAGACAGATAATGGATTTTCATGTTTTGAATAATCAGTTGAAAAAAAATTTGCTTTTTTTTTTCCTCACTAATGAGACTCTGATTCATCTTGTTGCTAATTGGAATCTCTACGAGAATGAGTTTATCGTAGCACAGTGATGGTTTTTCTCATCACATTGGTTGGTGAGATACATTGTGGGTTGAATGAGGCAACTGGTGTTGTTATAGCATTTTACTAAATTGCTGCTTTTTCTGTTTGATCAAGATTGAATTTGATACGCGTACTTGGTTGGATTTGCTGGTGTTACTGTTTTTGGGATCTTGAGTAATGGTGCCATTGAATCATTTTACTCTATTTTAGTGGTAGTGTACTTTTCTTGTTCAGCCTAATGATGGAAACTCATGAATGCTCATTTGTGTTAGCAGCTACAGGCTTCAAATTTTCATTTTCCATGTTGATGCCTTGATGGTGCATTAAGAGTACGCAACAGTTAAACAGCAGTTGCAAGTATTTATTTATCCAGAGCTTCAGCTCATTTTGTTTGTAACTAATGGATAATGGTGAGCTCCAGGGGCAGAAGGGCCAAAGCTTGCATTCAGTTCTGTTCATGCTCAAGGTTTTGGTGGTTCACTCATTCATTGTCACAACTGGTTGGGTTTATCAGCTGCTGCTTACTGCATTTCATGATTTGATCTTCTCAAACTGTTTTGGTGTAGAGGGTGTGTCAACCTCATTGCTGCAAAATGTATACTTGGTTTACTCGAGCATTCGACACTCTTGGCACATATCATATTTCGAAAAATGCAATATGTTTTGATTCTGGCATTTGCATAATTTATCATAGTTAGCTTTTGCCACTTGTGATTTCTCAAATTTCATGAGTTTCAAGGCTACTGAACTAGTTAAGTAGTGGAGAGCACATGCAGATGTCAATAACTAGACACATTGAAACAAATCTACCAATAATTAAAGAAAGTTAAATATTCAGATCATTCGCATCAAAATTTATATAATAACTACAATCAGATCAGTATTTGCGTTAAAATTCAGATACTATAAACTCATATCACATGGCTCGCATGTAAAGGAAATATTCGAACTTGGAACCCGTTTTGGACCAAGTCTAACAAGGTAATGTGGTCAAACGTTCTCTCCAAAGGTGAAGCAAAAGCACAATAGCAAGTGGGTAAACAATCAAGTACAACTTAGTGATGGCTGATCAGGCTGCTTATCATGTGCCCAGATTGAGTGCAAAAACCTGAATCATGCAAGGAAAAAAAAACACAAAAAACACAAAAAACACAAAAAACCTATTTATTGCTCCTTTAACTAATCAGTGGCAGAGGCTGCTACTGCTGTTAATGGCTTGACAGAAGATTGCAGAGATTCCGGACCCTCACTAGAAATCCGCTTGCACAATGCATCACAATTGCTTATCACCTCAGTTAATCTCCCTTTTAACTCTCCAAGTTCCACTTGCAAGGCATGGACTGATTATTCATTTTGAAGATGTTAGATGGTCAGAACAATTAACTATCATAACCGAAATTTTCATCTCATCAAGAAACATAGTGAAAAAATTAAGTTGGTCTTCCCTAGTATCATTAGATGCAATAACTAGTTGCATTGGAAAGAAACCTTTTCACATTGACATTCAGCAAGCTTTAAGTAAGGTCAAGATAAATGGATTGATATAAAATAACAACTAATATCCAGTACAAAGATTCATTCACTAGGTACCTTCTGATAGGTGATTAGATGTTGTCTTCATTGATGAGGCTGAGTAATTGAAACGTTGGAGAAGTTTCACAGCCAAAGCATCCACAACTTCTATTTTGTTTTCAATCTCTTCCTGCATATCAAAAGTACGTGCATATGGCAAACTGAACCACGTCTTTATTGTGCTAGAGATAACCAAGGATGGAAAGATAAACGAACAAGAAAACGTGGCAAGGAGTTTTCAATTCTACAGGTCTTAAAGAACAATAACTATTAGTATTATAACTAACAAGTTTATTTTGCTCATCAATCATCAATGTTTCGTGGAAAGTAATTAATAAGGACCATTTTACATATTCCATGGAGAATCAATGCAAATAATCGCGCAAACAGATTCAGCTAATTAGGGGTTGAAATTCAATTGTTGACAGAACGAATGATTTTTCAAGGTCCAATAAATTTTACGTAATTCAGAATCAAGTACAAAATATTTAACAAGTTTGTGCAGTAGCCATCATTTTAAATCTACTGGCTATTGATAATACGTAAACACCTTCGAGTTCATGATTACTAAATTTCAAAGTTAGCTATATTTAAACATATCCAAAGACGACAAATTTTGGGACTGGAAACACATTTATAAGAATGACTTGCATCAGAAAGATTCATAATATTGCTTGTTTGTGTTAGTGTCTATTGCATGATTATAACTGTATATATGAGTAGGACCAACTTATAAGTTATAATACACAACGATGAAAGTAGAAACCTGCGTTTTAGTTATTTTTTGAGCCTTCTCCTCTTGCCAACCACGATACATTGAGAAGAGCTCCAGTAGTACATTAGGATTTACAACACCTAGTTCAAACATAAGAAGAAATAAATATTTTGGCAGCAAACTCGGTTCATGTAGGCTATTATTTCACAAGAATGGCTGCCAAAGTCGATTCATGTAGGCTATTATTTCACAAGAATGTAATTAGATGGGAGAGAAATGACACCAGAATTACAATTGAATATATGAATTTTATAGTTGCTCGAATCCAATTCTTTCCCCACGTGTTGCATCACACTTCTCCCACCCAAACAAGTCAATTGGCAACTCTACGACAACTCTGACAAACACTTATAGCACATTTGCAACTACATTTTTTTCCTAGGATTTCAAGTAAGGTTAAGATATCCAGTTTAAAGCCTCCACCAAGAAGACTTATTCAAATCCACCATTTTCTCTGTAAAGGAAAAGGAAAAGAAAAGAGAAAAAGCCAAAAACGTTCTCATCATTACATTTTCATCTCATATACACAAACACACTCTCGAAAATTCTTTCTTAATTTATCAACTCATACCAATTTATTTAATAATAGAAAGGAGATAACGAAGAAGCCAAGCAACCACTCTTGACTAAAAACAGACCACATTTTCATCTCTCCTCTCATTAGGAACAGATTTGGAATTTCTGACTCGAGATGAGGTTTATATTATTTCAGAAGCACCCATGTTCATATATTTCTGCATCAACCATTAGTGAGGGTGTACGTGGTCCACGAATGGAAATGGAAATGCGCATGAACCTAATAGTATTAAGGAACGGTAATGAAAGTATTATTCATTGTAGCTTTGGCGGTTGATTTGTAGTAATAAGGAAAATAACCACTAACTGCTATTGAAATCGCTCAGAACCATTGAATTTTTAGTATATACACTTTTCCTTTGCACAGAATCAAATAGAGCAGCTGAAACAGCTAGAATATTTCTAATATACCAAGGATGCATGGCAGCAGTAACAGTTTAGCCGTATTAGAAGCCAGACAGCTAGCTAACAAGAAAAATAACGCTAAAAAATGGCAGGCACAGACAGTAGAGAACTAGGAAATTTGAAATAGAAGCAATTCACTTCCCTCATGTTTTTTGCCAGCATAAAAGAAAGTAGAAATTCTATATTATCCAATAAATGATCCCTCCAATTTGGTCATCCAACATTGACAGCCACCATAAGCTGGAAAACGGAAGTAATAATTTACTATCCAAATTAACCATTCCTACATAGAAATATGGATAAGTTTCTCAATGTTGCAATGTACGATACTAAGGTACCACATCCACACCAAATAACTAATATCACTCGGCAAATGCTGCATTTGCAAGGTTCACAAACTAACCAAGAAGGACAATAACATTAAGGGTTTAAGTAATCAAAACAAAAGAAACAAGAAAACTGTTACCAGAAGTGGAAGAAGAAGCTGATCTCCGGACGAGTATATCAGTCAAGGTACCCTCTGCAGGGGCTGTGGTCAGTATCGGCTTGCTCTATCCACACACACAGATTGAATGAGAATCAAATTTAGTGTGCACGCACG